AACATTCACTCTACTTTTAGCTCCATCTTTGGTCTCCACCAACTCCCGAGGGAAACATCTGTTCACAAGATGTTTCCCTCATCTTGCTGCTGTTTGGTGCTGAGCACGTAGTTCACAGTAGTTCATTTTAGAGCTTTTTCACTGAAAACGGCGGCTTGTTGAGTCTGAAAGCATCACTGATGACAGAGAAAGAGAGAAAGATGCGAAAAATGCTCTTTAGAGTTCTCTAGAATTCTCAGGTGACTTTTTCCATAAACACATAGTCATTTGATCCAATGCCAATGTATAAATATTCATTATAGCAGCTTCAAGATGGCCTCTAATATAACTGCAATGACTCCCAACCATTCAATGAGATTACTTCTTTCTTTGATAGACTGCTGCTCACCTGCTGCTGGTGAATCGTGCCGATGAGTTGATCCTCCCTCACCCTCAGCTCCATGTTCATCTGCTCCTGGTGGTGGAGTCGAGCGGTCGCGGCTTCCAGGTCATTCTGCAGCTTCCTCTCCCGGTCTCTGGCCACCAGAAACTCCCTGTCGAGCACCGCTGCAGACACAAACAACAGAGTCAGGTTTGAACCGCTAAACCACAGCCCGTTGGCGATTTTCTATTCAAACAGAAGATCTGCTGGATGGGTGCCACTGGGATGTATTTTAATGAAAGGTGGTGATGAAGTGTGTTTTCTTTACTGCTCACGGCATAAAATAACCATCATTTTTTAAACCATGACACTTAAAATAAAGGGTTGTATGTCAGCCGCTGACACTTCTGGCATTGAAACACTTTCCCATTCCTCTCACCTCATCACTGCACTCGTGTGTCCTTAACTCTTTTCACACACATTGTTCTTGGATCTCAGCTCTGTGGCCGTCCTCATCTCTCACTTTCTTGTCCACATCATGTACAGACTGTAGATAGGGTCTATCATTACATTTCTCAATGTCTGATACCATTAGGTGTTTTTTATTCTCTTTGTGTCCTCATCTCACCTCATTCTTATTCTCTGTCCGTGGGGGATCGCCAACCAACCAGAGACTGTTTATAAGAAGTGGACGTAGTCACCGTGACGTCACCCATTGCTTTGTGGACTGACGCTTTGAAACCTCGAGTTCTGCATATTGGCCGTCGCCATCTTGCTTTTTGTACAACTGAACGCTGAATAAGTAATTTTTCACACTGTGAAAGGGTTAAAGTTGTAAAACAAAAACACAGACAACTCCCAGACCGGACAACGCCTTGGTAGAGACCTGTCGATCACCGTGTAGCCCCGCCCTAAAGCATCCCCTGCTTTATGGTCTGTTTGACTCTAAATGGACCATAAGTTACTAAATGAACATCATGCTGTATTGAAGAAGACTTGAAACTAGAGATTGAGACCATCAACTCATGTTTACTGAGGTAATAAATCAAGAGAGAAGTAGAGTCATTTTCTCATAGACTTCTATACAACCAGAGGAGTCGCCCCCTGGTGGACATTAGAGAGAATGCAGGTATAAGACACTTCTGCCTGTGGCCGACATCACTGTCTTTAAGAGGCTGTAGCAGGCTCAGTCTTGAAGCTAGAGTGAATATATTGGTATCACATGAAACTACACGACCTAAGGCATGCATTGGTACCAGCCATGTATCTGAATGAAAATGGTTTTACCATGCCGTTGTTCTGCATACTGGGGGTCCCTAACAAGTCTTGGAATTGCATGAATTGTGTATAACTGGAAAGCTGAGACTCTTGTGGATCCAAAAAGCCCATTTGTATTCATGTGTAACAGTGTTCTCACAGTAGCCACACATTCTAATGAGACCATATTTGGAAACTTGACATCACTCTATCGTATGATGTTGTGACCTCTAGGATAAATTGTTCTGTAATGAGGCCCCAGGTTAACAGCCTTCAGATGATGAATACCACGTCTATGTTGCATTTACTGCTGACCTAATCTCATACTTTAACAATCTAACACTTCCTTCAGTGAGGTTACACTGGCTTGTTGTCACTGTGTCGTGTTGTAATTGTTTCTGTTCCTCGGTAAACCAAAGCAGTAACTACAATCAGAGACGCACTTTTACAGTCAATGAGGCAGTTTCACGTCGTGACCTTTGAAGTTTTATTATCTACTGTGGACAACATGTGGAGGAAAATTCACACGTTGATGTTACTTCTTCAGCATGCAGCATGCATCTTTGTTTGTCGGTTATGATGTTGTTTTCTGCACATTTATGACATGAAACCTTCAAAAATCTAAATAGGAGGAAGTATGAACATTTAGATAGCACAGTACTCTGTGTGTTAAATTACACTTTGCGTGACACAACTGTGAATCAGAGGAGACATAAGTAACAAGGTCATAATGGCTGTTAAACAGCCTGAACCAGTGCGCTCCAGCAACGGCTCTGAAATGTAAATGTGTAACTTTAGTCCTACCTTTGTCGTGAGCCAGGCGGTTGCACTTGGCCGTGAGATACTGGATCTGACTGTAGTCTTCCTCCCTGTGTGCTCGGAAAAACCTCCTCATGATCGATCAGTTGGATCGATCTGCATTTGGAGCGCTTTCTCCTTCTCCGATCACAATCTAAAGCCTCCTACAACTTCCCATGATCCTCAGGAGCGGGGCAGGTGTGTCCCGCTCGGTCAGAGAGGACACAGTGTGCACGTCTCCTGCAATATTTCTCTCTCCCTGAACACGTCTGTTTTAAAGAAGACAGTGCGCACCTACAGAGGGCAAGTTTAAGCATTAATCCAAGCTGCTGTTTTCATAACATGGAGGCGTGCTGCTGTGTGTGTGTGTGTGTGTCTGCTCAGACCTGATGCGTTTTGTTGCCATCTGGCTCACTGTTTGAATAAATAGGAAAACTCTTGACTTGACATTAAATGCAAACACTAAATTCATCTCCCGAGGCGGCGAGCTGCTGCAGGAGAGAGCTGAAGCAGGTCGGGCGTGTTGTGTCTAGCAGGCGGGCCTCTTTACTGCAGCCGCCTCGGGTTAGTTCTTCCATAAGATAGGATTGCGTGAGGGATTTTAGGAGTGGAAAATACATCTAATTACATCTTGTATCTATCAGGTTTGTTTGTAGAATATAGTCTGAAACTGTTACATGTTTCCTAATTTCTCATGCGATGCTGCACTTAAAGACGTCTGGTACATGGTTACTCTGATTGTGTGTCACTAGCGGTACCTTTAAGTGCTGTACTTCAGTTCAAATTTGAGGTACTTGTACATAAGTACTTTTCTTTTCATGCCACTTTCTACTTCTACTATACTACATTTCAGAGGGAAATATTGCACTTTTTACTGCCTTGCAAGTATTCGACAGCTTTGGTTGATATAAGGAAGGTGTTATTTTGGGCTCTGAGAATTTGATAAATTGGCATTTCTCACTAATATTCTGAATATTTACAAACCAATCAATCGATTAATGAGGAAACAATACTAAGTGACATTTTCAATGCAGGACTTCTACTTTTAACAGAGTATTTTCATAGTGTGGTATTAGTACTTGTACTTAAGTAATGTATCTGAATACTTTCTCCACTGTTTGTGTTGTAACGCAGATCTAGAAGCAGACTGAACATTAAAGGACTGTGCGGGTTGTTTTACAGTCTTTGCGTGTCTTTTTTCATTTAATAACTACGTATTCATTCAGTTAATTAATAATGTCTGTAAGGATCAATTAAGGAGTTTTTCTTTATCTCTATTTAATGTGTGTGATGAGTTAATTAGTCTGAGTTTCCAGACGGTTTTATAGCTTGATAATCAAACTAAATAACAAATTATAAATAATAAATGCACAGAATGTTGTGTGCTTTTTTCATTTAGCCTATAAAGCACAACAACTAGAGTCAAGTAATAATAATTACCAGCGAAGGGTTTTGGTCCCCCAGGCAGAGGAAGGTGATAGAAGTTACTTTTAAAATATTCTCACTTCAAAGTGTGAAGCTGTGGCTCGTTGGTGCTGAATATGTCTACAAATGAGACGCTGTGATCTCACTTTACTCCTCTTCTTCTCTCTTCTTAAAAAGGTGTTGACAGGCGAACTGCAGGAGATGTTGCGTGTTGCTGCAGACGCACTTGATGCCAGCAGAGGGAGACAAAGCTCCTCTTCCTGTCAGGAAAGCCTTTATTACTCTGTGCACACATTTATCTTAATGCGATTATAGTTTGAGTTCATTATTAGTTTCCCGCCCGTTTTACTTGTTGTTGTTGTTGTTTAACGTATGCTGGTGCTATGTTGGGGATCAATATCTCATAAAAACAATGACTCTGGGTTTCGGTTAAGGTTTGCAGTGTCCCACGATGATTTAACACTTTTTAAAGTTCTTTGCCGCCCCTTAATGAATACAAATAAATATATAATTTCTGGGGTAAAAGTTAATTTGTGACTTTAATTCATTTAGACTTGTTTCCTGCAAATTTACGAGTTTTTTCTTGTAAATCTTCCACTTTAATCTCAGAGAATATCCAAGTTTTGTTCTCATAAATCTACAACTCTTATCTTGTTTTTTTCCTCTGAATTTTACCCCAACACGTTAAATCAAATCCCATCTTTAGTATTTATAAGCTAAATTATAATGTAGTTGTATATGTAGATACCAGGACACAACTCCTTCACATTAAGGACATATTTTATATAGTACATTATAGTGTGTTATAAAACATTTAATACATGTTTATAAACTGCTTATACGTGCTAAAAAGGGGGACATATAGTAAGGAATTGAATTATCAGTCAAGTCATCCACTAAATTGACGATGTCGGTACATTCAATATGAGCTCTATAAGATGAATAAACATCCTCACTGTACATGTTTAAAACGGCTTCCTTCCACTCGACATGATGAGATGCTTTCACACTGTGTTTCTGTCTAGCAGTGCGCTGATTCTCCTGCTGCTCACCAACGAGGCCACAGAGACGATATCATCTCGGCTTATTTCCTGTGAAGTCTTGTAAAAAGAGTCTATTTGATCAAAGTCAAACGCATTAGTAATCATTCAAAGGAGAGGATGTTCAAAAATGCCGTTTATTAAAAAACAAAAGAAACCCACCATGCTGACTTCTGCCTCTAACAGAACAGTTGCAGATAGAAAATGGCATTGGGACATTTGACACGAAGCGATTATTAAAATAAATAACTACAATATCCTCCCAAAGTGTGTGAGAAACAAAGCGTAACATTTGTCTTCAAAACAGAAACACAAGAGAAACCAAACCAGCAGCCACACACCAGCTCCTGTCACATCGCTTCAACAAAACAGAGAGAACATTTGACAAAGTGAGCTTCAGACAGTCATCCAGATGTTCACACCTCAGGAACACCTGCTTGTTAGGTAACAATATGCACAAATCATGTCAGTAGTCTTCAGTATTATTCAGTAGTTAAACACACGTTAACTTGAGCTAAAAAGCTGCTTTAAATACAATCACTGGCTTCACTGAGGTCTGATCTCTGGAAGAGTCACGTAACAGACAAGAGAGTTTAAATAAATATCACAGCTGAGCGGGACGTTTTAATGCCAATGTGATCCAGATAAAACACAGGTGTCAGGTAGCATGTTTAGCCACGGCTTTCCTCTGCAGATTTCCTATTTGCTTTTCCCATAATGTACATTTGAAACTCTGGTGAACTTGAGAGTTTTGTTCTTCTTTATAAATCGTTTGTGTTAATGTGACTCAGATGAGAAGACGGATATTCTCACGCCTTTGCTTTAAATGTATGCTGCAACTCGGGAGGCGATTAGCTTAGCATAAAGACTGGAAGCTATCCTAGTTTAAAAACACCGATCAACATCCCTAGAGTTTACTGATGAACACGTTGTATCTCGTTTGTTTCATCCGCACACAAGCAGAGATATAAAAATGACAAATGGTGGTTATAGAGGGAGTTATGTGCTATTACTATTTAATTACAAACAATTCATAGTGAACTCGTAGTTTTAAAGGGAGTTTAATCCCTCTAAAACTACAATTTATCAACGATAAAAACAATACGTTTTATGTTAAATAATGAACTTTATCTGTGTTTTAGTGGCATATTGTTGAACTTTTACAGGCTAGCTGTCTCCCCCTGTATCCAGTCTTTATGCTAAGCTAGGCTAATCGTAGCTTGGTTCTAACTCTATTGAGACACAGATTAAAGAGTCGTAGCAATCTTCTCGTCTGACTTTTAAAAGACAAGCGAATAAGCTTTCCCCCCAAAACTATTCCTTCAAATATGTTTTATTTACTGTGTGGTTTTAAAAAGTGGAAATTATTCTTTGGAACAGAACGTGTTGACATCATGATTGTTGGAAATCTGCTGTGCATGGAAACCCGAGTTAAAAGTACGTTCTGAGCTGAACGGCAACACATAACAAAAAATAAAAGATTTGAAATTCTGGGACACAAAATAAATGACATTAAGTCAGCATTAGTCAAATCAGATTTTAGTATTTATCTTCCAGAGAGCACATATTCAAACTGAACGTAATTGATCTAAAGGAGGTGTTCCAGTTAAACAGGAGAGCAGCACCTGACTGACGAGAGGCTGTGAGCTGCCAACAGATTACACAACGTCTCCTTCACACAGAAACACCTCGAAACAAATCAGAACTGTGCGTTTATCACGACAATGCTGGTGTGAGGAAATGTGACGGCATGTCTGGGCCCAATGTGCTTCTAGAGAGAAATAAAACATAGACGCCGGATTCTTTTATTTTGAAGGAGTCACATGTAAAAGCTTAAGGGCTGTTAGTGACTGACCAGGCCTCGGTTATAAGTCGCCCAGTTCTTAGCTTGGCTCAGTTCCCAACAAGGCCACTGTCCTCTAGCTAATCCTACGCTAGCTGGCGGCTGCTAGAAGCCTTTCATGGTTTCTTGACCCGACACGGCGAGACTTGCCCACACATGAGAGTGAGGTAACATATATGCAGAGTAACGTAAGCAGCCTGCATCCAGCTGGCACCTGGGAAATCACCACGTCGGTCTAATTTGATCTCTGGTGTGAGAGTGTTTGAATGAGTCTCTGTCCTCTGAGTTCAGAGAGGAAACGAGCATCGTCGTCTCACTTTGAGTGATGACATGTGACTCTTTATGGGGCGCGGACATTAGAAGGTTGACGGGATAACCTTTTAAAGTGACACATATTTCCAACGTGGTCGCAGACAGACATAAAGAACATGCTGCTGGAAAAGACAGCTGATTTACATTCACACGTGTGACGGGGTTTGGTGGCAGTAACGGCCCAGTTCTTCCCCCTTAGCGATGCTAGTGTTACATTAGTGGAAAAAGCTAATTAAAAAAAAATCAGCATTCTTATCAGCTTCATTTTCACCAAAACAGACCCCGTTTCGATCTAATCGTGCCAAAAGGAAGCAGCTTTTTCAGCGAATCGTGAGTGATAAAATCTGAGCTTGTATCAGTGTTCTGCTGATTTACACTCAGCTCAGCACTTAGACTGGAAATGCACACCCATCTGTACTCTCTGTGGAGCGACTTCTATCTAAATAGAGACAGCAGCACAGACGGGACGACGCTGTCCTTCTAGGTCAGATTGAGTCTTATTGGACGTTCAGCTTCTCACAGATAAAACAAGCAGTCGATGTTCAACAGCTCACAAACGCTCAAAAACTAAAAACGCACGAATGGAGAACATTCACAGAAAAACACAGAAACTAAAATGAGTAAAAATCCAACAGAAAGTCAGCATTTTCCCACTAGCGTCAGTTCAATATGATGCAGGCGGTAAAAAAAAGAAAGAAGAGGGTATTGCACTGGTTTGGTGTGAGTCTATGGATGGACGGTCATCATATAAATAACAACAACAAGAACCAAACAGTAATACAATAATAATAATAATAATAATAGAAACAGTTCAGACTAAGGTCCCCCTCCCTCTGCTGTTTTACCACTGCTGCCAACTGAAGTCGTCATTGGATCCAAAGACCAAGAAGAAGCCCAGGATGGTGCTGAAGATGACTATGTTACCCGTTAGCACGAGCGCACACGCCCCCCAGGCGATCTGTAAAGCAACGCATCAATAATTTAGGTTAACAAATGCTGCTGCACACGCTGCAGCGCACATTATTCAGGCCGAGGTCTGGTGGGGTGTCAACGACGACAGTTTGCAGAATCATTTGCACACACGCTGCTCCACAGTTGTACATTCAGGACACGCAGCAGGAAGAGGAAATAAATAAGTTGTGAAATGCTAATCTTGTTCTGCTGCAGCTGGTGCATCTGTCAGCTCCTCTGCTAATCTCCACACTTCGATTTTTTAAAGTAGTTTGAATTAATTGACTATCTTGTTTTGTTTGACTTGTTTTTCTTAATGTTCTTGCTCCATACGAATCAGAAAGCCTGCTGCCGGAGCCAACAGCAAACCTGTTGAGGAGGCAGCCTTCTTTTTACTGCATTAGAGCAAAAATATACAGCTGGTAATATTCAAAATATATGTTTGTGTCAACAGATCCTCTCTGTGGCTTAAAAAAAGGCTCATTGATGTGTTATAATGGAGCTCTATGACACGAAGGAATACAAATATCAGACTTTGGCTACTCAGATTATACCTGCTAGTAGAATCAACAAATTGTTGGTTTTCATCCTTTACTTAATATACTTTTTACTGTAAAATGTTAAAGTTGTACTTTGCAGAAATACAGGATGTTTGGGTGGGACAGAACACGAGGAGAGACCGTTAGAAAGTGGGTGTGACCACAACACAGAAAGTGAAACATATATTTTTCAATTTAATTTTTTCAACATCATTCAGCCTTTCTTATTTTGAGCTTCAGTTGTTCTTGGGCCAACAAGCGAAAGTAACAATGACGGATTAAGAGGTGAATTTTAAGTTGTTAGTGACGGGATAGTTGGCTTTTTTATTCAGGATGTGTTGTGGTATTGATGCCTTCTTCTACTCTATGTATGCGTAGAAAACATGTATCACAAAGTATTAAAAATGTCTGATTTTGTTTCATGTATACTTTAGGTGATCTCACTCTATAACTGCATGTCTGCGTTCCTCTTGACGTCACAGTGAACTGCACTCAGAAGACTCCATAACTTACTACTTCAGCTCTTGCGAAGATGACGGGCAGGCCGAATGCTGAGATGACGATGCCCGTCGTGAGGAAGATGGCCAGCTCTTTGCAGGCGTTACTGGCCGAGTCCGTGTCGTCGACCACTCTCCGCGAGATGCAGTAAGGGATGGGAGACAGGATGTAGAAGAAGAGGAGGAACAGAGGCCAGTATTTGCTGCAGAGAGAGAGAGAAGTGGAGAGATAAATACACACATTCTGTGATGATGAAGGATGACGGACTAAACACTTTTCAGCACATTATCTAACTTCACAGGTGTATTTTATTCTATTACGACCTGATAACTAGTTTGCGTGTTTGTTTTTAACATAAACACTAAAGCTCTCCCTTACATTTAGGTATGATAGAGTTAGGCCTAAAGAGACATTATATAGTATTTGACGTGGACAAGCCTGTATTATTAACATTAAATAAATGTCTGTAGTATTTCTTAACTGCAACTTCCTGTTATTCATGAGCTGACAGATACTGATTTATCAATGATGAGCTAGAATTGTCTGCCGGTATCAGGCTCTACTAATAAATATCCTTAATTGATTTTCCTACAGCCTTTGTTCCACTACATTCTGCTGTCACTTAGTGTAATGATAATGGCTCAAATGGAAATCAGATGAGATTACAAGAGCCAAACCTCAGGGCTGGAGCTCATGTAGAGAGTGAAAAACCTTGTCAGAGTTGTTTTAAAAAACTGTAACTTTGTTTGTGAAAATGCATCCCTGAAGTACAATATCCACTGTAATGGTGGATGGCTTTAATGTGCTTTATTACCTAACATTGTGACCCTGTAGGGTGTCAAAATCTAGCTTTAACACCCTCATTATTTCAGCTGATGTTGTGCTTACATGGTAACGTTATTACAGCGCTTTGGATTCAAATAGGCATGATGTTGTGCACACTGGTGATTGATTGAGAGAGTTTGAAAAACAATCAACCAATCAGAGCTTTGTTACAGGGTTAAGAATGGGGACACTTTCTTCTTACAGGTTGTTGTAAGTCGACTTACAGAAATAATAACTCTTAAATCAACATATTTCTTCAGTCATTTTAGATGTTAACTGCTCTGAAAATGACTGGTGGGGCGGGTATGTAGTTTAAGTTTAATTACCACACGATAAACCTGATGGCCATTTAATATTCCACCATAAAATGCCAAACAGAGAAAGGGATAATCTACATGTCGGAATGAAACTTCACTTTATTGCTCACAAAAGGTGGATAATTGTCTTTGTCTCATGCAGCAGGTTAGTTTAAGGGAGGTTAATCCGGTCCTGTATCTAAAGCCCTAAACCTATGATGGGATCACCCAAGGGTGCACCTAAGTGCCAAGTGTGAACATTGAAAACACACACATACACACACACACACACACACACACACACACACACATTAACAGCCTCACATGGTGTGTGATGGTGGTACTTACTCGTACACAGGGAGGGCACATCCTAGCATGAGGAACATGAGGCCGATGGCCCCTCCAAAGGACAGGCTGATGAGAGCTAGAAGAGAGACAGAGTGTCTCACACACACACATATATAACTTAGCTTCTCTCTATCCCATCATAGACTGCAGGGCCCCAGGCTGCTGTAGCTACCCATGTGATGAATCAGCTGATTCCTACGTGTAACAGCTACATTTGCAATCCAAGACACCTTATTGGGGGCCCGTGTTAAGCTCTGAAAGCAATGCAGTCAATACAGCTGCTTGTTAACTGCAATTAATCCGGTGTCCGGTGGTCAGCGACTGTGTAATATCCACTAAAGTTAAGGTGCAGCTAGCTTTAGCGTTATTACGGTAACTACGACGTTATTATACTACGGTAATGGCATTAATTACAGTATCATAATGAAGCGTCACATGGCTGAAGTGTGTCTTCTAATGTTAATATTGCATGTCATTGTGTTGACTAAATAGCGGCTGCTTTCTAACCCAAAGGAATGGATGCTATTAAGCTAGTGCTAACGACTGTATTGGCCCTGCGGCTTCCTCACGTTACCGTTAAACGCATCCATCTGTCTTCAGCGTCATTTGACACAGTATAAACTGAGCCGGGATTTTAGAGGCTTTCTAAATAAATGTTTTATAAAAAAGTGTCCATGTTTTACCTTTAATCCCAGCCATTTCTCCTGGACAAAAGCTCGACACACACAGGACCTGACGGATGACAACAGTGCCCCCCTCTCCTCGGCTGACGAACAAGTTCGTCCAACCGTGACTCTCGTGCTGCCTTCCAGTGCTAACAGAAATATCGGATATTTAGGACTTTAGAAAATATATAATAAAATGTGTAAAGGTACATTTTTTATGATGTTTGTATAATATACAAAGTGTCTGGTAATTAGTGTCCCCGTACCCTGGTGGTTAGCGGTGGAAAACGTATTCTAAATCGTATTAAAGTAAAAGCAAATAAATATATATTAGTTCATTACAACGGGTGCATAAACTTGTCAGACGTTTGAAATAGATCAAAACCACCAAAATGACTCAATAAAATAGTCATTAAATAAAATAAATCCATAAAAGAGGGCCACTTCAAATTAACTTAACAACTTTAGAGATTCTTTGAGTTTCATTGACTTGCTCGAGAGTTATATGTAAAACTTCCCTTCTTAAAAACAAAGTGTTGAGAACTTACTGCGCACTAACTGCTGCTGCAGCACCGCAGACAAACTTTCAAGGTCGGCCGTGAAGGCATCGTTTTACTGCACAGTAATCCAACGTTAACGTCTATTTCCAAAAATGTCACGTAACGTTTAATCGTTGACAAAAAGTCGTGGTTGCATCACTCATCTTCGGCTTGTGTAATCTTTCAATTTAAAAATTAATAAATGAAATATTGTTTTCTCATTTCTAACCCGGTTTGTCAACCGCCAATAAACCTCAAAAAAAGAAGAAGAAGAAGATTTCTCACCCGGATGTGGACACTTTCTACTTCCGCCGACTCTGTTTGAGCCCATTCAGCGAAGATGGCGAGCGGAGGGGTCTCGGTGGCTTCGCTGTGGACCGAAGTGAACCGTTGCGGGCAGAATGGAGACTTTACGAGGGCCCTGAAAGCTGTGACTAAAAGTAGGCATTCATGTCTGTCGTCGTTACTCTCAAACGGAACAAGGAACCGCGGTCAGACAGACGGCCTATTTCTTCTGGCTCCAATCAACGGAGTTCACTGGCTAAGCTAGGGCCAGCTGTTAGCATGTGGCTATGCTAAAGGCAGTTGGACATCTAATTCTCAGGTCTCTCAAACACCGAGTTAGCTTTGTAAACCAAACCTCTACAAACAACCGTGTACTTAAGTGTTGAAGCTACGAGTCCAGCTGGTTTTCCCTGGTGTTACGTGCAGTGATAAAGTAATATTTTGCCACTAAAATGTGCCGTTCTTCCCTGATTAGTGACGTGTCCCTAGCCTTCCAGCTAACTTAACATGGTCAGTGGCTAACAGGCGTTCAGTCAGCTGTCACCAAACCGTTAGGCACCTACAGTGACAGTTGATTCTTCCTTTAAATAAGCAGGTTTACAGTCAATTGTGTACTTTTTTCGTTAATCTGCGTTACTAATTATTATAATAATAATATTTTTATTTATATAGCACCTTTAAAAACAGAGTTTACAAAGTGCTTTGACAGACAAAAGCAGCAAAATAAATTCTATAAATAATTATTATTGTTATAATAAAAAAATAACAGAAAGCTCTGTGACAGTTGATATGCTAAAAATAAAATAATAAATAAATAAAATAATAAATAAATAAAATAATAAA